AGAACATCTTTTCTCACTAATATTATGAAGACACTGTGCATCATGTAAAGAGAGTTCGTGGGAAAATATCTGACATGGTTTCTTTTTTGTTTTGTTTTGTTTTCCACAGCATATTATATACTACCCATAAAATGTCAAGGTACTTCACTATATTTTTTTCAAACTATAATCACTCATCATACATTAAAATGTAAGCTTAAGGAAAAGCTTTTGCATAATTCATAAAGATAAAACAGTAAGGAAATGTAAAATTATTGAAACAAGTTCAAGTACAGTTTTACATATTAATCCTTTTGGCATTTGATTCAGAGTTTCTTACTCCTCAAGTACATTAACAAGCATAACTAGAGATTGTGTGGAAATGGTGCTTTCTGAAGATATTTTCAATAAGCACATCAGGTATTAAACTTAATCAGGTTATTATATTTGCATTACACCTTTTTTCTTAAAAAAGCATTAGCTTTCATAGTTTTTTTTAAATTTTGTATTTCTTTCCAATTTTATATCTGAAATATACTTAATAAATATTTAATGTAAAATAAGTACTGTTATAGGATGAAATCTAAAGCTACCAAAATAATTTACATAGAACTTTTGCCAATTTTTAATTAAATATACGATTTCACATTTCACTGTTTTGCAAGCCTGAACATATCCCACAACTTGACAAAGTGCTGCAATGAATTTCTTAAGTAGATAAAATGGATAATAAGGGTACTGAATTCGGCATTGACTGTGGCAGCAGGCAGGAGGAAATGTGTGGTGGACTCTGGCTGGCACACAGTGAAATTTCCTTTTTAGGAAGTAAACATCTTTGGATGACATCTAACCTTTCCTTAACTTTTGAAGGCATCAGGGAGAATATAATTCAGTTGTCATATTCTAATAGAATTCTCATTTTTGTAGCAATACTTTCCAATGTTTGTATTCACCTAAGTTCATCTAAGATGCTCTTATTAAAATTATTTGAAAAGCTTTGCATCTAGAGAATTCATTAGATTTATGGGCACAGGTTAGACCTTCTCAGATCCAGTTTTATAGGACTTGGAATTTAATATTTAAAATATTGTTTAATTTTGATAACTAAATTCTTTCCCCAAATTGACAAAACCCAGCAATTTACTGACAGCTTAGTCTCCTTGAAACCACAAAGTTAAAAGTGTTTGTGTCTCTATAGCAGCTCATTGCCCAACCACGAAGCCAATTTTAGGCAATATAATCAGAATCACCTTGCTAAAAATGAACACAAATTAACAGGCCAGGAATATAAGTATTGTAACTGCACTTGATTGGTAAATATTCATTAGGGGAACCATCCAATTTCAAAGACGAGAGAAAAGGTCTTTTATTCACGAATATAACAATCTCCTCACTGTGATAAGCTATTTCTTATGATTATAGATTGCATTATCATTGGTTATAATTGCCTTGGGTTGATGGTCAAATTAAATGGCTGTAAACCATATAACTATGTCCCTAATGGTCACAATGTCCAGCCTCTTACCGTCTTTGCCTGTTCACTACCAACAAATTCTGACCAATTCGGCTGAGAAATACACAGTAGATGCTGCTAGTTTTAAAGATTTTATGATGTTATCTATGCTGTAAAATGTATGAATTCTATTTTGGAGTGGATTGGATTAGAGTGCTTCCAATTTTCAATGCTAAAATATTTTCCATTTTACCTTTCTTATCTCTCATATTCCAATAAGTCAATGCCATGGGGTAAACACTTTATAAATAAAAAAATTAGTTGCCAGTATGACACTCCATTCTTCCAAGTAACTAGCAGATTAAGACATGTTATGTTAAGAATAGAAAACTACGTATTTACAAAATGAGATGAATATAATATTAAAACAATATGAAAGGCACACCTAATTATATCCAAGTAGTTTGCTCATTTACAAAAATATTAGAGTACTTAAGGGCATATGATTTATCATTTTCACAGTTATCATTATAACTTCTAGTATCATATATAGATACTGGGCATTTATAAAATCAATGCTCGTAATCATGTAGTACGTATATAAGATGTTCATGTAGTTACAATTCAAAATTAAAATTGAATTTATTTGAATACATTCACACAATAAGAATGTATTATGGAATAAAGTAAGCATTCATGATATTCTGTGTAGCAGAGTTGAGAGCTGGAATAGCTCTTTGGTTAAGTGTTATGGAAATGTTTCTGGAGAGAATAGGGATGGTTTTAAACTTTTCATTTATACAGTGGTTCTGATATCTACTTGGTCTTGTAGTGATTAGCGAAGAAAGAGAAAGTTATATACGTCTATTTTAACAAGAAAACAGATTACCTAGAAATGCATGTTCTGTGGAACGATTTCGAGTTAAAATTCATAAATTTTAAAATTAAGTGAAATAAACGACATGCACTCCACATACTCCCATAGTTTCTAATATGGCTAGTTCAGAACACTTCAGAGAACGTGCACTGAAATTCCAATTTATGTGAATAGTAGTTAGTGTATATGCCTATTTTCAATTCTTTATCTCCCCACCCCACCTTCCAGGCCCAGGGTTTCTCTGTGTAGTCTTGTCTGTGGCTGTTCTGGACTCGCTTTGTAGACCAGCTGGGTCTCAAACTCAAAGGGATCTGTCTGCTTCTTGCCACACTGCTGGGATTATAGGCATGTACCACCATGCCCAGATTTTAAATTATTTTTTACCATTGTTATATTTTTTTTTCTGTTTTTAATTTTGAATTAGGACTCTGGCTGTAGTTTAGGGGCAACTTCTTCCCATAACATTTAACAAATCCTGGTTCCAATCCTCTGTACTAACAAACAGAATCTCATTTGACACAGGTGTTTTGAAGCAAATACCTCAGGATGTTGTTATTATTTCAGTTTTAAAGGCTCTGTAATATTTCATTAGTTTATTAGAGGGGCCACATTCTTCTAAGCCCACTTGATTCATCGCTGTTTGCAGTGTAATGAATGCCTTAAGTTTATAGTATTTGTGTGTGTGTGTGTGTGTGTGTGTGTGTGTGTGTGTGTTGGAAGACAAGGTAGATAAAATAGAAATCAGAATTATTCATAAAGAAAGATAAAGAAAAATGTACTTTTGAGATAGCAATGTTTCAATAGAACTAATGTCATTCTTGACAAATTTTCTCATGACTGATATATTATCTTCAACTTTCAGAGGTTAAAAGAAAATACAGATTACAGATTATCTAGTGACCTCAAATGTAAAAACTAGTCACACCTGGTCTTCTTTGGGGCATATGTGTATTAGTGTTTATCATATTTCAGTGTGCTGCTGGCAGGGTTTACTCAATTTAAGTACTGTCAGAAAACTTTTGAAATAAGATATATAAACTAAGCAAAAATATATGCAAGCATTTTGCCAATACTGAAGGGTGTTGCTCATTACCCCTTTACACCCTGACTAACCCTCAGCATAAGTAACATATTTTGCTCTAATATTTAAATACATCAATATATTTCTATGGTTTTGGCTCATAGACAGCAAAAGATGACACATATGTTGTAGTTTTCTAGTAAAGGAAGCTCACAGTAACAAATTATTTTACTTGTAGACTTTGCATATAATCACAAACACAATATTCTTATCTTGTGTAAATTACTTATAAAAGTGATATTTTACCTTTTATTAGCAAACCTGATTAGCATGGGTTACTTTCTAAAAAGTTAATTTTAAAATCTATGCTTGGGATAACCAAACTACAGAGACATTTAAAAGTTTTTAGTTTTAAATGGCAATTTCTGCTTTGAGTTTTGGGAGTAGTTGAAGATCAGAAAATAGTACCATGTGGTTCAAAAACTGTTCTTTTTTTTTTAAAATAACATCTGAATTTTTAAAATTCTTGATATTTTAATTGTATATAATTTTATAGACTAACCAATAATTAAAATATCTAAAAATCACTCTAAACATTTTAAAATATGATATTAATAATAATAATAATTAAGAAAAAAAACAATAAATGAGTTCTAGCTTAGCAACTGTTATATGACTAAGCTAACAAAGCTCCCCTGCTGAAATAATAGCCTGGGTCATGAAAAAAATTTCTTTTTCAAGCAATATTGCTTTTAATTCTTCATGCCTTGTAATTACTATTTTGAATGCATTATCTCATAAAAATTAAAATAATTTCAGTTGGTAGAACTGATATGTTTAAATCATTTATAATTAAAGCCCATTCTCCTACTCTTTGGAGGAATTTGGGGTTCACATAACTTTGATGAGAAAAACTATTATTAAAAATCTTTCGTGAATCTATTAGTATTTTTCCTTGATTTTTTTATCAAAATGTAAGTGCTTTAGTATAACTAATATTTAAAGTCTCATTCTAAACTAAATAGAAAAGTCTTATTGAATTTTGTTTAATTACATAAAAACACCAAAACATACAAACAATTAAGCCACTATTAAATTTAATAAAACAAATGTGCTGGCTTAAAATTTTCAGTGTTTGGCACTAATTAAAAATACATGTAACACTTATTTACAAACAAAGACTGTCTTCAGAATCTTCATCTTCATTTCTAGAGATGTAAAGATAAGTAGTATTTTTACATAACATGATTGCTTAAGCCATTTATTTTAAATTTCCATAGAGAAATATTTAGTATTCTAAATTATATCTTTCATTTTGATAATCCACTTTATTATTTTTTATTGTGTATATTGGTTTTACAATGTTCCTATGGATAGTGTTCTAACAGCAGTGAATGTGCCACTTAATGATCTTGTTACTTTATTTTTTTTAATATACTTTACATCTCAAGCTATTACTTTCTATTATTCTCATCATTTTGTTATACTTTTTAAAATAGTTTTTACTGTGTAAATCTCGATTCCACTATATTTACTATAATTAAATTAAAAATCAAGAAATCTGAAAGCAATTATCAAGTCTACTGTATGTGCTAGTAAAACAGATACAACACACATAGCAATGGTGAAGAAAACAGCTCAACTGGCAATTGTATGAAACAGGACCCCCACAATGTATATTTTATATCCCTTAAAAGAATCAATCTGTTTCATTATTTTACATAGAAAATCAAAATAAACTCTTTCTCCATATGCTGTTTTGATTCATTGGCTATCGCTTGTACACCATACGCACACACTCCCACTCCCTATGTCAGGGAAACTTTCTTCGGAATTCACTGTTTTTGTACTCCTTCAGAGACTTAATCTTGCTGCTGATGAATGTCTTCATGCCTAAGAATTTTATAGATAACCCAGTAGAAAATGTTAAAAATCAGAAACGCCAGCGGAAAGCAGGCTCGGGAGATGGTGTCAATTTTCTTGGCCCTGTCGATGAAGACCTTCCTCATTTCATCAGGGCTCTTCGGCATTGCCTGAACAGCGTGGTTGGGGCCTTTTGGAACCACACCATCCTTTGCTTGCAGACATGGCCCCATTCCATATGCTGTGAAGCTGAACCGACTCTCCCTCACCTCATCATCCTGTTTACAAAAAAAAACAACAGGAGGTGTTAGTAACGAAACAGGACATGCAATGTGGCATGTCAGAATCCAGGCTTAAATTTTATCATAATGTATGCTTGCGTTATGAAGAATAGATAGCTGAAGCAAATGAAGATGAGCTGGCTTGAAGTTTTAATGGAGAGATAAAGATTCTGTGTGTCTACATGTCAGAAAGTAAGTGAGAGTGAGAAACAAAACTGTTGAGAGACTTATTATAAATACACATATCACATAATTTTTAGTTATGAGTTAAAATGTAGCAATGCCTGACCAAAGGGGAAATAAATACCAGATTCATTGACTGAATTATTCTTTCTCATGGAGACAACCTTTTAATATTTATTTTTTACAATTCTAGTTACTTCCTTGGAAAATATCAGAAAACACTGATGGCTTTATGTTTCCTTTAAGTTGCTTCTCTATTTTACACTATTATGTTGGGAAAAGCTACAGGATAATAGTACACTCTAATTTGTATACAGTTACTTCACAGAGATACAGTGATTGGTGAATTATGAATGGAAAGTGAAAGAGGTTTAACTTCATGTTCAAAGATTGAACTTATTCTCATTTCTTGCCTTTTTGGTGAAAATCAATTATAAATAATAAATTTGTTATAAAGTTAAAATTCACAAAAAATGTTCATTTGAAATTATACAATAACTTTTACATATGGCAAATTAAAAAGAAATTTCCATAAAAATAAAATTGTGGCTGGAAAAATGGCTTGCTGGTTAGGAATGCTTATTGCCCTTTCAGATCTGAGTTTGCATCATAGCACACACAAGGTGTCTCACAACAGTGTATACCTCAGTGGGCCCAGGGGTCCACTGCTCTCATCTGGCTCCATTGACAATGCAAGCTCACGGCACAAATAAACGTTCACAAACAGACATACGTACACATAAAAATTTAAATTAAAAACTACAAAATTTAACGTAAAATTAATAAGTATAACATTCTTATGAGAGAAATGTGTTATTAACTAATTAGTAATAAAATCAATGAAAAATTTAGAGTATAAGAATAAATGGTTAACTGATAACAAGAGTCTGTCTTTTTTTTTGCTAGGAAAACTGCAAATTTAACAGTACTAAGTAATATATTTTCTAGATATATCTCTGCTATGATAGCTCTTTTTCATGTTACTTTAAGAGATTAAACAATCATTCAGTTCAAAACTGCATTAGGTCTATAAATGTAGCTGTTCATTAAATAGTATATTATAAAATAAGAAAGTGAAGAATAATTTGAAGAAATAATTTGGATTGCGAAAGTGATAAAATGAACAAGGTTGATTCAGTAATGTGTGAAATAGTTGTCTAGATTATGAAGGTGAGACACCAAAAAACAAAAGCATATAATCACTGGGTACATTTTAATTGCAAGAGTATTAAGCACTTGGATTTGGATGGAAACAATTAAAATATAACAATTGCAAGGAGCTTGAATTAAAGCTAGCTTTCATCCAAGCTAGCTCTGTATACTGTTGCAGTTTTGAAAAAAAAAAACAAAACAACAAAAAACATTTTTTAAAGACTCTAATAAATGTGCTTTTTTTTTAATGTAGCCATTTTTGACTTCCAAAAAGCAATTTTATGGCAAACTTGTTGCATGCTTTGAAAGTGTCTATCTTTAATAAAGTATATATGACTTAAACTGTTATTATGTAAATGATATATTGTCAACTTTTAGGATATAATAAATTATCGTGGTGCTTACATCTCAGAACAGAAACATGTTATTTCAGTAATTTATATTATGCGTGCAGGTCATTTGAGGTTGAAATGTATTACATTACTTAAATTTTTTCAACCCATAAGTTTAAAAATACATTTTAAAAACAGAATAGTTTTTTCCAAGAGAATTTACATATATTGGCATTTTATATATTGGAAAGCTCATTATCAAAATACTAAGATTTTATGATTCTACCATATATGTTTAGCAAAACAGAATTCATTAACTAAGTTTCTTATCATTTATTCTAGATAATTTATTTTAAAATCTTTGAGATCACAGTGGTTCTTCTCAGGTAAAGGTTTTTCATGCAAAATTAAACATAATGAGTGAAGAACCAAACATTTTTTTGTTGTGTCTTTTTTTACATAACTGGCTGTGTGTGGTGGGTTAACATCAGTTCTGAGCTGTTATGAAACTATTGAAAATAACCCCTGGTTTCTAAGCAATCATTTTCTTGAAAACATAGAATTAAGCTAAATGTGGACTAGACTTCATCATCATGGAAGGGTCAAAAGAGACTATACATAGTCTCTTAGATCTTTAGCCAGTGTGGCCAACATATAAAATTTTGGTTTGAAACAAACTTTGTGACTTCTGTGTATAAAGACAACCACATAGCCGTTGACATTTGTGCTGGGAGTGAGGGGGCAAAGAAACCATGTTCTAGAGAAACAGCTCTCTTCTGAAATATGTGTGTAGTGCTAAAATGAGTTGAAAGATTATTTTTGTTTTAAATCTGGTGAAAATTCAATTCAAACCTCCACAGTCAACACAGAAGACATGTTTTGAAATCATTTTGACTCAATATGCCTAGAAAGCTTTTGTCTGATGTGTTCTAAGAAGAATGTGATGTTGATGTGCTCTGGGTTTAAGGAAGCAAAGGATGTGCAGTCAAATGACTGGGCCTGAGTCTCATCGTGGGAATATGGATGGCACAGATTTATCCCCTGGTGACATGTTATGTGGAAAAGCAATGATATAAAAATTGAAGAGAAAGTACCCCAGGATCCACTGATTTCTTTCTTAATTAGCCAGTCTCATAAAATTGGAATCAATTGGTAGCAAGAAAAACTAGCAAGGGAAGAAGGTAGGTGGTTCTCTAACCTGCCTCAAGGTGAAAACTCAACAAAATAGAACAAACAAAAAATATTTCTTAACCTTGATGACATCTATAACCTCTGGATGGTGACACTCAAAACTTGTATTTATAGTATACTGTGCCCATAAAATTATGTGAGTCACATGGTGAGTTGAGGTAGACAAGGGTAGTTTTAATTTAAAAATATGAATTTGGTATTCTAATATGGTATTTCAACATTCGTACAACATATATATTGAAAACTTTCAATTTTTTAATACAAAGCTTTTGGGATGTGGTTTGTACTTTTTCTATAAATTCAGACTACATTTCTAGTGTTTGGTAGCCATACATTTCTAGGAACTACCAAGTAGGGCAAATTAGTTGCACTGAAATATTTTGGGTCAGTTTGTAGATTTAGCAGATTGCTGTGTAATCCATGCTTTCATGACTCTTCAGATTAATCAACATAAGGGCTAATAATTGAACTTTGGATGGTGCAGCATATAATGTTTGATAGACATGCTGAATTCCCATGTGTTCTTACTCTGGGATTACTGGTTTTAGTAATCAATGGCCAGTTTTTGAGTATGTGAAGTAGGTGGTGCTGTTAATCCATCATGAGAAGGAAAATTGCTTCTCACTACTGTCAAGTGAAACTTTCGTGCAGATATATTTTTGCTGTAGGAAATGTAGCCACATCATCATCAGAAATGAGCTTACTCAAACCACTTCCTCCCCTCTTCTCTCCTCTCTGTAGAATGACCATAGGTAGGGGAGGTCTTCCTTTTTCAAAAGAGTGGGACGATGTGTAGCTTGGTGAGCATATTTATCCCTGCAGAAATCATGCTGGGGTCACTAGGGGAAGAAAATCTCTACTATTTAAAGGAAAGATCATTAGCACCTCCCACGTGGCTATTAAGAAACTATAAAATAACAGTGAAAGTAGATAGGATCCTTGTGAGTGATTTCCTGGTACATCAGAACCTTAAGGAAGTCTACTAGATTTGTTCACATCAGACTTTAGAGGCAATGGTACCAGTAGAAAATGGAGATAAAGACAAATATATCTAATTGAATAAATGAAGTTAAGGCTGTTGGCACAGAAAGACTGTCTTGAAGATCAAGATTTTTTTCCCCAATTCTGCCTAGAAATTGAAGATTAAACAATATTTAAAATTGAATGATCAAGGAGAGTAAAAAATATATTTTTAGGATACTGGAAATCAATGGGTAATGGATGGTACCATTACCAAGAAGCAAGAAGACAATAAGAGGAGACAAAGAGAAGTTTGAGACAGGAAAAATAACTTGCTTCACTAGTGGGATGTTGTGTCTTAACAGATATCATATTGAATATTTTTTTTCACTGTTTTTCTAGTACCATCGAAGTCAAATGATTTTCTGAAGTGACTTCTTGTAATATTCCTGAAAGATTGATCCTAAATAATAAGACAATGGTGAGTCTGCCTTAAAAGCTTATTATTAGATATTGAATGAGAAGATGATATGATACATTATTTTATTATGAAATAACTTTAGCTTTGAATAACCAAGACATGAAAGAATCTAGTGCTTTTGATTGCTTAGCTTGCTATTGACATTCCTTATTCTAATCACCTCCCAAATATTTATTGAATACAATTATTTAAAAATATCTTTAACATATATTCCAATGAAATGCATATTATAAAAGCAAGTAATTAAAATCATATAAATATTGGACTGAAAGGCTTTGTGTATATTAGCTAATATTTAATGATCATATAATTAAGGTATATTACAACTTAAAAGAAACAGAAATTATATTGAATCAAGATTGAATCGAATGTGATAAAGAATATGACTGATTAAAAAAAAGTAAAATTTTAACTTTAATTTCATTTACCTAAAGACAAATTCCCTTATTATTTCTTAAGTGTGTTTCAAAGGAAGACAATAAAAAATTTAAAATGCAACCTAGTTATTATATAATTTCTTTCCACAAGAAGACTTTTTAATGGGAACAAAAACATGTTTTAGTTATCATGCATGAGAACTACACTGTGAAAATTCTAAGTGCCTTTTCACTTTATTTTGAGCCTCATATTGAAGGGCTCATATAACTACATACTATAGATTGAAATGACAGAGGTAGACTGAAAATCATAGCCCAGAT